GTGCACCTGCTTGTCTGAGAGTGCACTACATGTGTACCATGTTCACAGAGGCCAGAGAAGTCATGGATCTCCTGGAACTGGTGTTGCAGACACTTTCGAGCTGCCTTATGGGTACTGGGAATCAAAACCCTCTGCAAGTGCTCTTAACTGTGAGCCAACTTGCCATTCTCAGAAATAGTATTTAAAATCCTTCATGAAAGACTAGTATTTGAGTGTTTCGTGCTAAGTCCTGTAGTGAAGGGGAAAATCAAACACAAGAAAACAAAACAACCCCCTCCTTTCTTCCTCTGGATGTCGTTGAGGAGGTGGACATAAGTCCACCACGAGTGATGGTGTAAGAAGCAGTGGGTGCAGCAAAAACAACCTGCAGAATAGTAATCTAATGCCATATTCCCAACAGTCCTGGGGAGCAGGCACAGCAAGGATGATCACTCTGACTTCACGTATGAGCAGCAAAGGCCAAAGCTGCCTGACCAGGGAGGGGCAGAGAAAAACCCAGATTTAGGTCTTGTTCTCGTGTTCCTAGTCTCCACTCAGTTGACTCGGAGATGGTAACACTAGAATTCATGGGAGAGGAACTTCTCTGGGGGCCCCTAAAGAAGAGAAAAAATAGCCAGGTAAAGGTGACATGTGCATACCTTTAATCCCAGCACTTGGGAAGTAGAGACATGTGCCTGTCTCTGAGTTCGAGGCCAGGCTGGCCTATAGAGTTAGTTCTAGGACAGCCAGGGCTACACAGAGAAACCCTGTCTCAAAAAAAAAAAAAAAAAAGAAGGGAAAAATAAATGTGGGATGCATGGGAATGGTCAAGGAGGGCTTCGGGGAGCACTGGACTGGATGTCAGGGACAAGCAAGTGTAGAAGGGGGAGGGTGTTCTCAGCAGAGGGTGGCATGGCATGAGCAGTGACTCGGCGTCGAGAATTGAGTAGGGGTTGACTCTGGGGACAAGGGACAGCAGGCTTACGGAGCCAAACTATAGCTGTGGGGAAATTCGGGGAGAATTCGGGGTGAAGAGGCCGTTGGGTCCAAGCAAAGCCCAGTGAGAGTGGAGGTGGAGGGCGATGTGACTGGGCAGAACTGAGGGGCCTCAGTGAAGGTGTGGGTGGAACAGGCTTTGCCATGCCCAGGGGATGGAGCCAAGAGAGATTGTAGTGGTGGAAAAATAAGCACCAAAGCTCACTGCCAAGGGCCTGTGTGCCAGGCATCGTGCTGTACAGTGTGGGCACAGCATTTTATGTTTCCTAACAGCTATCCTGGGATGTGAGCAACATTATTATCCCCATTTTAAAGATGAGAAACCCAAGCTAATATGTTACTTCTTGACCAAAATCACAGCCAGTGGGAGCCACGAGTGGCTGAACCAGAACTCGAACACTGGCCCCGTGGTAGATTTGTTGACTAGCCACTTCACCACTAGGCTCCAGAGCCATTGAGCTAGAGGAGGCATTTCAGATGAACATACTCAATAGATCTATCCTAGCAATTAATTAGTGACGAGGTGAAGATAGAAATTGATTCAGAAATGCTTCAATCCTGGGGGCCTGGGAAATTCTGGTGTCTGACAGTGCCAAGGAAATGGAATCCTTCCCATGGTATGAACAGCACATTCCCAAGTGGCTTGTATTTCCCTAAGAGGTTGTGCATTTATGTGGAGCAGCTGCCTCCCCGGAGTTGGCAACGCCATGTTGCTGGCTGGTCTCCTTTGCTGACAGCCTCGGGCCCTTCTTGGTGACTTGATGCTCATTGCTCACCCGTGGGACACACAACTAAGGCTGCCAAGACCAGCAGCCTAAACAAGCCCCCTCGTTATCGTTGGGGCTGGAAAACGACCTTGAGTGCTTTTCAAAGCTGTCAAAGTACACAGCAGCTGTGAATGAATTTGTCACTCACACAGCATGGCTTCCTGAGACCCAGCCTCCGAAAGTGGCCCGCTACAGGGCTGCAAGCCTGATTAATATCCACGGAGAAGTTGGCCTTGTGAACTGCTTTCATTTACAAGAACACAGTCACATAAAAATGCACTGAAGTCTGATTTTTTTAATTGCACAGTGTTTTCCCTTTGGGAAAGTGTAATCATGAAGGAGAAATAAAAATAAAGAAGTGTTACCAATTAATCCTGCTCTAAAATGAGGAATTTTCAAAGCTCCCCCAAGCTCAGGAATCTTGATGTGATCAAGGCTCACACCTTTCTGACCACTCAAATCTTTTTTTTTTTTTTCGTTCCAAGACAGTTCTGAGGTTTGGATGTAGCCTTACAACAGCCTCAGGGTTTGGGGCGTTGTGGGAGGGTCTGGGCAATGCCTGGGCACGTCTCCAACTGTGCAGAGTTAGAGAGGTTCCTCTAATTGGCCATTCTGCTTGAAAGAAGACAGAATCATTTCCCATCTGACTGTGGGTCTCTGCTGAGTGGCTGTCCCTGCACCGTGCACTGGAGACACGGGCATGAATGCAATGTAGATCCTGCCCTCTAGGAGCTGTGCATCATGCAAGTCAGGCAAAAAGACTGATAGGATGTGCTGGGCAGTCATGGCGCACGCCTTTGATCTCAACACTAAGGAGGCAGAGGCAGGCGGATCTCTGTGAATTCGAGGCCACCTGGTCTCCAGAGCGAGTTCCAAGGACAGGCTCCAAAGCTACACAGAGAAACCCTGTCTCAAAATACACACACACACACACACACACACAAACCCAAAACAACAAAAGTCTGACGGATATCTCAGTAGAGGAGAGGCAGGACTGGAATAGATAAATTAACTCTACTTGAAAGAACCAGGTATGCAAGTATGGTGGTTCATGCCTGAATTTGCAGCATTCATGTGGCTGAGACAGGAAGATGGCCATGCGTTCCAGGCCAGCCTGAGTTACACAGTGAGAAATAAAGTGTAGTGGCGCATACCTGTAGCACTAGGTACATAGAAGGCTGAGGCTGGAGGATCACTTGAACCCAGATGGGTAAAATAGTGATAACAGGTTACAGACCCTCTAGTACTCTCCTCTTCTCTCTCTCTCTCTCTCTCTCTCTCTCTCTCTCTCTCTCTCTCTCTCTCTCTCTCTCTCTCCCCCAAAATTAGGCCACACTCCTCTGCAACTCTCATAACAGAGTTGATAAGCAACACATGCCTCACAACTGAGACTCCATTTTCAAAGAAAAGAAAGGATAACGAAGCCCCCATCATAGAAAAGGGTGTTGAATCAGATAAAGAACAAGTAGGAGTCAGCCAGGCGGGTGAACACTTTCTAGACATGGACAAGCACAAGGGAACCTGGTCAGAAAGGATGCCAGGGAGTGGCCAGGGGCCAAGATCTGACCAGAAGACCTTGTTCAAGGAGAGCCGTGAGAAGTTTCAGTGACATGGGTAGGGTGCATGGTGAAGAGGTAACTTGTTCTTTGCTCTTCTGCCCCTGGAAAGCATGGGCTGAAAGAGGGATTCCAGAAGGAGGGAGGGAAACCAGCTTGAGGAATATGATAGGGATCTCAACCTAGGTAGTAGCTATGGGGTTTTTTTTAATTGATTTTAAAAGACAGGAGGAAAATAGAAAAAAGCGTAGAAAGGCCAGGGTTCCCCAGCCTTCCAGTTTAGGTGGATGAGAAGGTGGGGCTTCTGGCTGGCTTAGTGAGAATGGGAGAAGACTCTGAGGACGAGGCTGAGTGTTGGGAACCCATGCAGGAGTGTCCAGGTGGCTTCATCACAGTGAGGCTTGGCAGTGAGTATAAAGTTGGGCTGTGTTTTAGGAATCCAGGAGGCAGAATGAATAGAACTATTAATCAGCCTCTGGCAGCTGAACCTTTGAAATCTGGTTGCTGTGATCTGAGCTTGTGAAGCGCTGAGGAAGCTCACAAGGATGAGAGATGCAACCTGGGATTCTGTCCACGCACATATGGCTGCATTACTGTAATTTCCCCACCACAACCAATATACAGGGAGAACTTATGTCAGGCGTTTTTCTAGGCACTTTGCATATATCACACTCAACCTATAGTCTCACAATAGTCCTTTGAGATGGGCATCACTGTTATTTCCAGCCCCAAGCACAAAGAGGTTCATTGTATTGCCCAAGGAGGTATCGATTTACTACAAAGTGGTAGCTCCTGGCTGACTTTATCTGTTTGTGTTTAAGATTTTAAATACTATGAGGATGCTGCTGATGAATACAGGGACCAGGAGGGTACGCTGCTGCCTCTCTGGAAGTTTCAAAATGACAAAGCCAAGCGCCTGGCCGTCACCGCCCTCTGCTGGTGAGTACAGATATTGCAGTGAATCTAGGGCCCCAGAGCACCCACTGTGTGCCAAGTCCTGATCCATATGGCCCTTCTATTGCACTTTACATCTTGAATGTGACAGGTGACAAAGGAGGGGAAAAATAGGACCTGGATTCTTATTGGATTTCAGGATCATCTAATGTCTACTATCCATAAGAAATCTAAGCTTGACAGTGGATGTCTGCAGTGTAGTTAGTCACCAGTGCCCATGGGAAACTTCATAACCATGGGAGGGCCATGTCTGTTTCCTGTCCAGTGAGTTCACATTTCTTTTGCAGGAATCCAAAGTACAAGGATCTCTTTGCAGTGGGACACGGCTCCTGTAAGTGATCTGTTTGCTCATGCAAATTGCAGACACTAAGTTCCTAGTGTATTCAGAGCTTTTGACCAGGTGTGAGAAATACAAAGATGACTAGGACATAGTCACTGGCCCTCTGAGAGAGCTCACAGTCCAGTACAGTGAGCTCTCTGTCATCCTTCTTAATGCTGTGACCCTTTAATACAGTTCCTCATGTTGTGATGGCTCCCAACCATAAATTTACTTTCATTGCTACTTCATAACTGTATTTTTGCTACTGTTATGAATCATCATGTAAATATCTGTTTTCCGATAGTCTTAGGCGACCCCTGTGAAAGGGTCATTCGACCCTCTAGGAGTCATGACCCACAGGTTGAGAAACACTGTTCTAATGAGCAGACCCACTCTCATGTGGGCAATTAGTGTTGGTACGAAGAATATAGCTGAGTATGCCAACTGAACCTCAAAGAATGAAGGGGAAAGCTTTGTAGCAGAGGGACCGGCAGAAGCCAAGTCTGCAGGCAGGAGAGACATGGTGGGGTCAGCCTTCAAAGGACCTGGTAAGCCATTTCCAGAAGGAAACCACTGAAGGCATTCTAGAAAGGCAGGGGCATGTCCAGTACAGGAAGGAATTGCAGGCCTGAGACTAGAGGCTGTGAGGCCTGGTACAGAGAGTGGGATGGAGGCCCTCTCCCTGCCTCCTCACCTGGCCTTCCTGACCAGACCTAAAGCAGGGCAGGGGTGAGGAAAGGCGAGTACTTGAATTCTGTTTTTCTGTTTCACTGGAGACCACAGTTATCTGTGTTGCTGGCCCTGTTAGGACATATTCAAGGTGGGAGGCAGTGCACAGTGGTACCTGTGTCCAGGCAGCTTGTCATTCCTTCATGTTACTTGGGCCAAGTAGAAGTTCTCACCACTGAGCTGGATAGTCCCTGCTTCTAATGGGGAGCTCCCTACATGGCAAGCCAGGCACAGCTCCTAATGCTAACAGCTTGTCCTCTGGCTGGGAGGATTCACTTCTGTGAACAGAAAAACCCTTCCGTTCTCCAAGCTGCTGCTGACTGGCAGGCATACAAGATCCTGGTCACTGCCCTTAGATTGCCCATACGTTCTTTGACCAGGATGGGGATCCAGGGGGAGGGGTAGGAGTTGGTATTTGTCATTCCTCTCAGGGAGGAGACCTTGGAGCTGCTCCCAGCCCTGTGGTCTGGGCTGCCTTTGAGGGTGCCCTAAATGCCTGCTTTGTGTCCCTACTCCTGAGGGTGGGCTGCTGCCAAATGGGAAGCACCCTCCCCCTCTGGCAGGGAACTAGCACATTTTTCCCTTTCTGCTGCAGCTACTGGGCCTGGAACAGAGCCTGGGGGCCGGGTAGGCCCTCCCAGGAGTGGCTGAGGACCCCCATGTGAAGCCCAGGCTCTCAGCTTGAGACTGAGGTGAGAGTGTGGAAGCCTCCCCAGAAGGTGGAGGAGAAACTCCATAAATCCCAGCCCATCTTCTAGCCAGGGTTAGAAGCAAGGTCGTGCAGAGGCCATCCATGGGAGGTAGCCTTAGTCAGAAAAGGTAATGCCTTCCCCAAGGGAATGGCCTCTGGCTGACAGGCTCACTGGCCTCCTTTGGGCAAGCGCTTATCCCGGAAATGTTTCTTTGTCTTTCCTTGGTCTTTTGAGGCACAGGCCCACAGGCAGCTACAGACCTCCCTCTGGAAGGCCACTTCTCAGTGCCTTTGTCTCCTCGGACACATGGCAAGACTGACAGCCAGCCAGGCCTCCATCTGGAGCCATCAGGAGACCTGTATGGGAAGAGTGCCCTGTGAGCTCCAGGGGGGCATTTACACATATAGGGCAAGAACACGACCCTGTTCTCTCCCCTGCGGACCCTCAGAGAGCCTGAGCAGAGCAGGGGAGATGGGGAACCGCTACAGAAGCTAGTGGCAGAGGCAGTGTTGTTTGCTACTGTCACTGGCACAGGGGTTACTGGCGGCTTTCAAATGATTATCTATTACAGTACCAGCCTCAGAAATTCTGCTCTGGCTCCTGAGATCACCTGGGGAATCCTATGGTCTCAGATACACGCTCCAGGGAAGGAAAAGTACAAGCTGTACAGCACCCCGGTTGTGCAGCACCCCGGTTTTGGACAGACTCATCATGAGGAGCAGTTAGTCCCATCATCTCCCTTACAGCCTTTGAAATTTAGGTTTACGGCTGAGTTCAATCCTGAGAAGCACAGTCCAGGCCCCTTAAGCTTCCTTTCCTCCTAAAATTTATATGTTTATTAGTTGGGGTAACTATTGCTGTGAGGAGACACCATGACCAAAGGAAAGGGTTTATTTGGCTTATACTTCCACATCACAGTTCATCTTCGAAGAAAGTCAGGACAGGAACCCAAACAGGGCAGGAGCCTAGAGAGGTAGGAGCTGCTGCAGAGGTCATGGGGGATGCTGCTTACTGGCTTGTTCCTTATGGTTTGCTCAGCCTGCTTTTTTACAGAACCCAGGACCACCAGCCCAGGATGGCCCCACCCTCATCAGTCACTAATTAAGGAAATGCCCTACTGGTTTGCCCACAGCCTGATCTTATGGGGGCATTTTCTTAACTGAGGTTCCCTCCTCCTCAGATGACTCTAGCTTAAGTCAAATTGATATAAAACTAGCTAGCACATGGACAGGCATATATTCCAGAAAGGACTAGGGCCTGTCACATCCTTAGTACACAGTTTCCTGGAGTTAGATATGAAGCAAGAAAAGGAAGCCAGGCATGATGGCTCACACCTTTAATCCCAGCACTTGGGAGGCAGAGGCTGCTGAATCTCTGAGTTCACAGTTCCAGCACACCCCACAGAGAACCCCCTCCCCCCCCCCCCCCCCGCCTTAGAGAGAGAGAGGTATAATCAGTAAATCCACATCTGCCTTCCCACTATGGCTTTTGGCACCAGCATGCTAGGCTGCTTAAAGCACAGAGACAGGGGATGTCCCATAGTTCAGGCTCCATATTTCCAAATCAGGGGAGAAAGAGGCTGTCAGCAGGTGAAAGGGGGTGGAGGAATATCAGAAGACAAAAGGAGTCAATCCAGGAAGAGAGATGGTCTTGGAACAGCTGGGATGTGACTGTGCCAGCCTGTGATACCGAAGGGGTCTATTCCAGCTCATTAGCCTGCACATAGCAGGGAAATGGAGACTCCTTGGGTCTGTCAGGCAGGGATGGCATAGCAGATTCTAGAAACTCTGTGTGGTCCCAAGGCTATCCCACAGGAGATGGGGCAGGGAGTGTCCCAGCAGGTCCCATATTGGGAAGGCAAAGGAGCTAGCTGTCCTTCTGCCCAGCCTTTGTCTCAAAGCAGGCCAACAGCAGCCCTAAATTCTGGACTCAAACTCATTCTTACTCTGTCCCTTGAACTTGCCCAGGCCAGAGATACCCTCGTAAGGATTTAAATCTTACCAATCATTTATTTGTCAGCTTCACTAATTAGGCAGTGTTAATTTCATTTACTGAAAATGGAAATTCATTCACCTCATTTCTCCCTGTTCATCCTCCACACACAGAATCCATCACTCCTTAGCTGCAGGCTGCGTAAAATTTACAGGACTAATTATGTTGTCAGGTCTCTTTGTAAATACAGTCCATAAAGGCCACTCTGCTTGCTGGGCTGCAGTGCAAGGGCATTTCATTGTTAGTTTAATTACTGGTTAGTTATTTAGGTCCTCAAATGTTTGCCTCATTTTCCCTAAATCAAATTAAATGTCCCAGTTGATGTATTCTGTCTCCAAGGCCTTGCTCTTATTTCCCACACTGTTTAAATACAACTCCCAATCCAACGAAGATGCCTAGGAAGGCCCCACTGCCTGAGAGCCTGAGCCCGGCTTGGCTCTGATGCCTCTGGCCATGCCCGGGATCAAGACCCTTTTCCATGGCAGCCGTAGGCTGGTCCTCTGCCTATGGAAATTGTGGGACTCTCAATACGAGGGGGCATATCTGTTTCCGGAGTCCAAGGTGACAGAGTGGGGGGCAGCGGTAGGAAATGGAGAGGTTTCACTGTTGATATCAGAAGGCCTGAGGACCACTGCAGCCATTCATCTGACTTGTGTATCACCCAGGAAAAATTAGACTCCTAAAATTAGAGTTTGGGCCACCCTTCCCTGAATGCCTGTGATGTTTGGTTCCTGTTGCTGCAGCAGCGAATGACTACAAACACAATGGCTTAAGCAGCACATTTCTTCTGAGTCCTGAGGCCAGAGTCTCGGGATGGATTTCACTGAGTTAAAGTCAGGTGTCAGCAGGGCTGTGTTCCTTCTGGAGGCCCCCCAGGGAGCACCTGTTTCTTTTTCTGTTTCCAGTTTCTAGTGGCTGCCTGCATCCCATGGCTTGTGGCCCTCTTCCAGCCAGCAAACGCATCACCCTGACATCGGCTTCTGCCGTCATGTCTGATTCTCTGACCCTCTTGCCTCCTTCTTTCCCTTATAAGAACTCTTATGATTACATCAAATCCACCCGGATAATCCAAGATAATCTCCCCATCTCAAGGTCTTTAACTTAATCACATCTGCAAAGTCCCTTTTGCCATACAAAGTGACATATTTATAGGCTCTAGGGATTAGGATGTGGACATTTGTGGGGGGGCATTATTCTGCCTACTCCACGCCCCCTCCAAGTGCCTCTTGCATGACTTAATAAGGGAGTCATCAAACAGCTGCTGCCTTGGAGCCAGTCCTAGGCTGGCCTCGATTAGGATGCCACAGTACGAGAAGAAGCCTGCCAGCCTAGGTTGGCATGGTGTCCTTGTCTCTGCAGTTGGCATCTATTTCCTACTGACTGCTGACCTGGTGTTAGCCTTGTGCCCCAACATGCCCTCCACCTGCCTTGCTCTCCTTGAGTCATGAGTAGTTCTTCTGCAGCCAGAATGCTCTACAGTGTCCACCCTGAATAAACAGAACCGCACCAGACAGGGATGGCAGCTATGGGACTGAGGCACCCAGTGATAGAGTTCAGTTTAAGAGGATGTTGATCTGTCTTGCTCATTGGATATTGTTCTGGGGCTCCGGTAGCAGAAGCTGAGGACAGTCAGAGCTTTGGTCTATGGCAGAATTAAGACATGCACATGAAACCAGGCCTAGTGGCTTAGACGTGTAATCCCAGCTACTCTGGAGGCTGAAGGAGGATGGAAAGTTCATGACCTGCCTGGGCTACAGAGTAAATTCAAGGCCAGCCAGGGCAACTTGGTGAGATCCCTGGTTCAAAAGAAAAATAAGGAGAGAGCTAGGCTCAGTGGTATAGTATTTTTCTAGATTCAATCCCCAGTAAATAAAAATATCTGTTTCTCAGGGAGAGTTAGGGGGTTATGGTGACTGTGCAGTAGAGTGGGGTGAGCAGGAAACAAACTCAGTCACCAGAAAGAATGAGATGTGTGCTGAGTTGTGTTCCACTGTTGACTTTAACCTTTTTTTTTCCTTTATACTGATAGTGGGGAACACACTTTCTCAGAAGCCAGAGCCCTAGTAGCTGAATGTTCTGGAAGAATTCCCAGAGACTATCAAGACTAGTAGATTTTCTCACTCCTAGACCCTTTCCTCCCTTTGTTCCACTTTCTGTTATACCCAGCCACATGTACTTGCTGAAATCCTGTAGTTTGAAGGACTCTAGAATTTCTTCGTTGGCACCACAATAGAGTCTTTACCTTGTTATACAAAGGTAAAGCTAGGTGGCTCCCATCTGAGGTCACTGGAACTAGGAAGTCAGTGGCATTAAGAACAAAGTACTCCAGGGATAGAGATTTAAGGCTTCTGATATCATTGGTAACTGGAGCACTAAGTGATCCTAATGTTACACTGGGACTAAAGGTGACCTGGTTAGTTGTGTACTGGGAATGTTGGGTGGCTGAGCAATGACGTCATCAGGCTTCTGGTGCTCTGGCTGGTGATATCATACTAAGATTTTTGGATGACTGGGCAATGATGACAGTGACAGATGATGCCACATGAGGACCGTTGGTGGTTTGAGTAATAATGTTGTCACTTAATGATTTCTAGATAGGGTGATGAGAATCACATGAGGCTGTTGGGGGTTGGGGCTGTGATGTCACACTGGGTATATGTGTAAGTGGAATTATGAGATCTCAACAAGCCACTGAGGTCAGGAATGAGTTCACCATACAAGAGTTAATAGGAAACACCAGTCAAGTGAAGTTTTCTCTGCTTTCCCGGTGTATTTTGACAAAAAGAGCCTTGAACTAAAATTCACAAAACACACACTTTAACCAGTACTACTGTACTCTGTATTAAGGATGATTCCTTTGGGAGGGGGAATGTTGAGACAGGGTTCCTCTGTGTAGCCCTGGCTGTCCTGAAACACTCTCTGTAGACCAGTATGGTGTCAGACTCACAGAGATCCTCCTGCCTTCCGAATGCTAGGATTAAAAACATGTACCACCACTGCCCCACAAGGAAGACTTCTTTAGCTTGCAAGTAACAGAGACCTCTAAAGCGAAGTGGAGGAAGTACGACTGGATCCCAGCATGTATGTGACCACAACACTAGTGTGACTGGTTGTTCATGACATCATCTCTCTGCACAGCCATTCCCTTTATCATGCTTGATCGCCCTGTGTCTTAAACATTGTCTAGTGTAGAGCCTGCCGGTTTGATCGCCCTGTGTCTTACACATTGTCTAGTGTCCATAGAACCTGCAGGAAGGATGGTCCTGTGCCTTATACTTTGTCTAGTATAGAACCTGCAGGTTTGAATTGACTTTGCCAAAAACCACCATACTGTTCTGGTTGGTTCTGCCCCTTCTTCTGTCCTCTTCCATATAAAGAACAAATTACCAGGCCTGCAGGGATGGCCTAGTAAGTAAAGGTGCATGCCACCAAGCCTGACAAACTAAGCTTGATCCCTGGAACCCAGAGTAGAAGGAGAGAAATGACTCCTACAAATTGTCCTTTACCTTCCACATGCCATGGCATGTCAGTGTCTCTACACACACCAATAAATTAACATAAATAACTTTAGAGACCAGATTAATGGAGGAAGATAAGTTCAGCTATTAAAAGGACACCATGTGACATGTGACATGTATCATGCATGCAAGTAGACCATTTTTCCTCTCTGAGACTCTGTTTTCCACGCATAAAGTCAGGGCACCACAGTTCTGACTTCTTGTACCAGTGGTTCAGCAAATGTCCTCTCTGTCTTCACTGGTCATGAGCACTGTGAATGTCCTCAGGAGCCAGGGGTACCTGGAGTTTGTTTAGATAAAGTAGCTCATCACTACTGTCTATCATGGGTCCAACCCCAGTGCACTGCTCTCAGCCTCACCAGCCATTGCTTCAGTCTCCCATTCTCCCTCTTACTTGTCCATCCCTTACCCTTTGTCAGTCTTGGCTAGTATGGAGGGCAAATTGGAATCAGAAGCCCCTGTGGCTCACCTCTAGCTAGTGGCCAGCTGGAGAGCCGGCGATGGACTGTCTTGGGCCTTTTAGGGCGAACCAGGAGTGGAAGGATGGGAGGTTGGAAGAGGCAGGCCAGGTGCTCAGGGTCTGCTTGATGGACACAAGGAGCAAGGGTGAGCAGTTGTAGCCCTCCAGGCCAGATCTAGATATCTTGGCTTGGAGAATTAACCATCGGGGCCCACCTAGGAGCTCACAAATGGAGGTACTGCCAGCTCCCCATACCTACTTCAAGGCAACCCCTTTACTGTGGTTTTATCTTCAGGGTGTTATGGGGTGTCCACCAGAGAAGACTGCTCAGACATGGGTTTAAGACAATAGAAATTCTTTCTCATCTGGCCAGTGACTGGGCCAAACAGTCACTGGGTGTTTGGGATCCCAGTGTAGACCTGAGCCTTTCTCAGGGTGAGCTTTTAAGCACAAAAACCATGTCCTGGGCTGACATACTCAAGTTAACAAGAACAGTTAGCCAGAAGCAGAGCTACAGAAGCTAAAAAGCAAGGTTAGGAAATTTAGAGCCTTTCCCAGAACTATGGACTTTGATGGATTAGATCTTTGTTTTAGTTTTGGCAGGTGGTGCTGAGTTTTATGGACTGAATGGCACTTCCATCATGGTGTTAGTTGTGCTAAGATCTGAGCCTGTTACAAGGGGATCTTGAGGTCCCCAAGCTCACTTCCCCTAGGACAGAAATGTTTTCCTTCTTGCAACACCACCTCCATGGCTCAGGCTGGACCCTAGAAGCTTCTACTATTAGCGCAGCTCTTCCTCACACACATGGCCTGCAAAGGGTATAGAGAGGATCCCTGAGCTATGAGGATCCATCACAGCAAAGAAAGGTGGAATTTTCCATAGGCCTTGTCTTCACACAGTCTCTGAGTGCCAGTACCTGGGATGTACATGATAATAGCTAAGGTTATGTCATGGGTCCAGGGACTATGTGGGACACCTTAGAAATAAGACAGAGAGAAAGGACTAATCCATACTTGTCAAACTGGCCTTGCTTTCCTACTTTCCCTACACCTCTGCACACCTCAGGACCAGCTTCTTTGCTGTGCATGGCCAGGCTCTGCAGCCTTTAGGCTAGAGGAGGAAGCTGGGGAACAGGGATAATGGAAAGGTCAGTGGTTGCCTGGGGTAGGGTGCAAGATGGAGAACTACATTAGTCTGTCTTCTACCTTTCCAGGTCTGGCTCCTTGAGCTTGGGGAGGCTGGGAGGTCTGGACTGGCAGCTAGAAAACTGGAAGTGAGGGCTGGGTCCACTTCCAGTGCTGCTCAGTGGCTGCATATCAGGATCGTCACTACGAATGCAGATGATGTGGGGCGGGTAGGGAAGGTGACCTTTGCTGAAGGGTCCATCGTTAATCACTGAGATCTTCATTTGGGCTGACTGGGCCTGTGGAAGCCTGACCCACCCGGCTAGAGACTTCCAGATGTAGGAGGTCTGCTAAGCGCCCAGGCACAGCTGCTCTCGGGAACTGTGAGATGAAGCTGTGAGGAGATGCTTACAGGTGGCTGCCATGGGCTGACTGAAGACAGCAGCATGTCTTCATTGTTTTCTCCTGCTTGCTGAGCTGGGAACTGAAGTCTGGGCTTTGTGTACTCCTCCTTCTGCTCCTCTTTTTCCTTTCTCCTCTCCCCTTCTTCCTCCCTTCCTCCTTGTCCCCCCATTCTCTTTTGTTCTATAACCCCTTCTCTTTCTTCTCCTTTCTTCTTTCTTCTTTAACTTTTGAGACAAGGTCCAAATTAAAATTTCCCAGACTGGCCTTGGACCTGAAGTCCTCCTGCCTCAGCCCCTAAGTAATGGGACTACAGTCCTACATCATCAGGCCTGGTTAGACAATAGCACACTATATCAAGCTTAATTCTTGTCCTTGGCTGACACTATATCAAGCTTAATTCTTGTCCTTGGCTGAAGATGTATAAGAAGCATGGGTATCTGGGTATGTGTTGTACTGCAGCCTGCTCCTAACCTGGGTATCCAAAGCCCTGCTGAGGGTACTACTAGACCCCAAATTCACTCACATTCTTCAAATAGTGACAGTCTGAGCTTGCATCCCCCTCGCCCCCCGACCCCCGTTCTGTGCCCTAGAGAGAATAGTGACTGTTGATGATTGGCCTAGTCACCTTTACCAGCTGTTGGATCTATCAGAAGAGAGGGCCAAATTCACATTTCCACTTCATAGTCACAGAAGGAAGGCCAGAGAGTCATCCCATGTTCTTTCACAGGCACAGCCAGGTGGGACCTAATCATTTGGTGGGGCACAGGCAAGGGGGATCCCCTGGCAGAACAGATGGACCTTCATCTGCAGTCTCCCATCTTTCCTGGGTAGATGACTTCATGAAGCAGAGTCGGGGCATGCTGCTGCTCTACAGCATGAAGAACCCCAGCTTTCCAGAGTACATCTTCAGCAGCGAGAGTGGTATCATGTGTCTGGACATGCATGTGGACCACCCCTACCTGGTGGTCGTTGGCTACTATGATGGCAACGTGGCCATTTACAACCTCAAGAAGCCTCATTCGCAGCCCTGCTTCCGCAGCACCTCCAAGTCTGGCAAGCACACGGACCCTGTATGGCAGGTCAGCTCAGGAGCCATGAATGAGGGACCTTGAGGAGGAGAAAACCACAAGCAAGGGCTGGAGGGGCTGGGGAAGTCAGGTTCCAGCCCAGGAGCTGGATATGAGAAGGGGCAGAGAAGGGCAAAGGTGAAACACAGAGCCAAAAGTTTTCTTTTAGAACTGGAGTCTTTGGGAGGTAGTAACACAAGCCTTTAGTCCCAGCACTTGAGAGACAGAGGCAGGGAGAGTTCTGAGTTTGAGGCCAACCTGGTCTACAGAATGAGTTCCAGGACAGCTAGGGCTACACAGAGAAACCTTTTCTGGGGAAAGCAACAACAAAAACAAAACAAAAAACAAGGAGCTGGAATCTGCTGCACATAAGTTCCATCATGAAGACCTTAGCTGTCTGCCAAGACTGGCTTATGGATACCATCAGTACCTCTGCAGCTATGACTGGACACTTCCAGGACCTCTGGTTCAGATCCTTATCTATAAGGTTCCTGGAGACCATAGGGACCCCCCTCTGCCACCTGAGCAAGATTTGGGGATGTTCCCAGATAGGAATAGCACTGCCTACAGCACACCCTCTGGCTGGGGCTGGAAAGTCTGGTGGGCGCTCTATATTCTTGAGCATCTTTGTAGCATCCCTCTTTCCAGACAGGTTTAGCAAGGAAGGCAAGGCTTGTCTCACTCCGAGAGCAGTCCATCCCCACCGTGTTCCCATGTTCCAAAGGTGCCCCATCTCTTTAAGCTGTATACCACTCTCATGGGCAGGTCTGAGAGAATCTAAGGTTGGATTTCTGCCTCAAGTTGCCCCAAGTCTCTGGGCTCTTCTGTCAATACTTAGGGCTCTGTCTTCCTCTGCCCTCCTGCCCTGAAGATCTTCAGCCAGGTGTTTTGTGCTCATATCTTTTGGACCTGAGTTCATTGCCCCAGGCACGGGATATGCACTCCAGATAGGCCTGAGTGGAGAGGCTTCTTAGGCCTGGGGACATGGCACCCTCTCAGCAAATGCTTTTCCCCAGAGCCTGGGGCAAATGGTGTTAGAGAGTCAGCCCTCGGGCTACATACCATCCCCATCTCACTCTCTGGAGAGGTTCTGTCCACCTAAAAGTCCACATCATTATCTCCATGCACATGGAACTCTCCAGATATGAAGAGGGTATCACCAAAGGCTCTAGAGCCCTGACTCTGCTTCCCCAGCCTAGACAGCCCAAGGCCAATCATGAAGCACCTATATTAACTTTACCACCCTCTCCCTTCTCAAACCCAGGATTGTGGAATCCATCTAGAGTCCTACCCTGCCCAATCTTCTCAATCAAATAGCAGGGTGGGTAGTCGGGCACATAACCTAGGAAGGACCCAAGGACCCTGTCACTTGTCTCTCTACTTCCTATTTCATTCTTTTCCTCTCATGGTCTCCTCCCTGTTTGCTCCTGTGGCTGATGAGGGTGCTTAATTAAGGGCTTTGCCTCTGGGGTTCTTGGTGACAGATAACCTCGGGCTGACCAGGGCAGGGCAGACTTCTCATTCTAAAGTGTAAGTGTGCAGAGGCCAGGCAGATCTTTCTAGAGGAAGTAACTTCTGATCTAGATTTTGATTTGATTTGATTTTTTTTTTTTTTGCATAGCTTTGGCTGTCCTGGAACTCACTGTGTAGACCAGCATATTGTTGAACACACAGAAATCCTCCTGCCTCTGCCTCTGGAGTTCTGGGATTAAAAGTGGTTGCCACCACACCTGGCTCCTGATCTGGATTTTAAAGGATGTCACTGTGACAAAAGGAGTCACCAAGCAATAATAAAGGGCTTCAAGCATAGTGGCCCACTGGGAAACATCATTCAGAGCTTGTGTGATGGCGGAGAGTAAAGGTCTGAGGAAAGGGCAGACTCCCAGTTGGGAGTGTGCTTAGCTTGGGCATTACAGATCAGTGGTTTCAAATATAAGGTTAATACAAAAGTGCAATATATCAAAAAAGACGAGAGCAGAACCTCTCTGGTAAAACCAGGGCCTTGCTTACTTAAGGGTCCCCTGTTGTCATTTCTGCTGCCTCCTGTATTACTTCCCAGGGGTCCTAAGACACCCTATGAGCATAGTTTGAAGATCATAGCCCACTCATCAGAGGATTTGTATGGAGGTGTAATTTTTTCTATAGTGTTTTGGAAAGGCACTCTGGCTACAGCATGAGAATTTTTGAAGGCTGGGAATAGGTAGAGGTACTGGAGATGAAGATGTGGACACGGGATGGAAGCTGGGGTAGGGGCATCAATAGAAGGAGTAGCTTAGACATGGGAAAAGGGAATAACTGTGTTGTCTGGTTTTGAGGTGCCCAGTAGGGCATCACTGGATGTGGGAAACAGCAGAGAGGAACATATGTGACCAGAGGTTAATAGGAAAGGCAGAGGGAAAGCCCCAGTGTGCTATTAAGAGCCTGGGGCTTTAAGACAAGCCAGGCCTGTTGAATGAGATGTCCAAGGCCTAAGACCCAGGTCCTTTTTAAAGGACCTGTGCCATGTGTCTGGACCCAAGATTTCAGTCGCCAGTCTGGGGCAGTCTGTTCTGTTGGCAATAGAAAGCCATGGGAAGCTGTGGAGCCAGGGTTTTCTGACTGGGTTCCTGTTTTGTATCGAACAGGCTCCTTCCCCAGGCAGCCCACATGCCTGCCTGAGCTCTGATCAAACCATAGCCAGCAACACTCTGTCCATACTGTACAATTATAGGAAGGGAACAGGAAGAGCGTATGAAGAGAGACTGGGCCAGTACTCTGTCATAATCAGATAAGCAGGAAAAAGAGGGATTCCTTACAGTGCTCCCCACACTGGTCCCTGAGTCCTCACTGCTTCTCTGAACCCTGTTGATAATCCTTCCCTCTCAGCTTTATTCTTTCCCTCTCACCTCCACTCTAGGGGTGTATGTGTGATTTACACACACACAGAGTCACCAAGACACACACACACACACACACACACACACACACACACACACACACACACACACTGGGCATGAGGCTGCTAAGTGGGGTGTGAAATACAATTTCCATGAGTGCTGGCGTCTGCTCATTAAACACTTCCCTTTGCGGCTCCCCTGTGCCTCTTACAGCTTGGCCTTAGACACCTTTGTCCCCTCCCACCTTTAAAGGGACCCTGTTTGCACAGAAGGGGAAGTGGTCCCAAGATCCATCTATATTGTGCCTTACAGCCTCTGCAGCATTCTGGCCTCCCAGTGAAAGCACAAAAGAACCCGCTACCCAGACAGGCCCAGGCAGGACTTAGCCTTGCCTCCTGCAGCTGCTCCAATCTGATTCACCAGGCCTAGGGGCTGGATGGAGAGAGACACCCCCTTTCTCCCCTCCTCCCCCGCCCCAAACAGCCATGGTGACAGCTGCGGTTGCAGGCAACAGCAGTTACAGGCAACAGGCCTAGGTCTTGGCCTCCCTCTCTGGACTTCAGCTTGTGACAGAGGGAGGGGACTGGACAGGGGTCCCAGCATGGGGGGTCTGGAGGGAGTCAGAGGATGGAAAGCTCTGGGCACCCAGCCCCACCCCAGCTTTCTGGGACTTGGCTTGGCCAAGCCTCCACATCTGGCAACAGAAACTTGAGCCTCAAGCGTGTCATCTTCATAAGACAACAGCTCTGTCTCCAAAACACTTTCCCATATGTTTGCTTCCAGCCCTGAGAAGACGGGTGGGGCAGGATAATTAACCCGGATTTGCAGATGGAGAAATGCAGCTCAAATCTGGGATTTGGGAGCAAGATTCTGGGAGCAGGAGCTGGTGTCGGTTTGAAGATGGGAACAAAGGAGACTCTTTCAAGAAAAAGGTCAAGCCTAGAAGAGAGGACCGACTCCCTTCCCTCACCTCCAGAAGCTTGTGGCCCACCTTCCTAGTGGGTAATAATGAAGATATTAGCTAGCTAGAGATTTTTGTGTGGTTTTGAGACAAGTCTTGCTGTTTAGTCCAGGCTGGTCTAGAACTCGTGGTCCTCCTACGTTGGTCTTCTGAGTGCTGGGAGTCAGTTCACACAGATGCCATCAAACTAAAGGTTTGGCCCCATCCGCTAGTATTTTTGAGCATTTACTACGTGCTGTGTTCTGAAGATTTTACAGACAGTAGATCCTTTACTTCTCACATTATCATGACTTCCATTTTATAAGTGAAAAAAAAAAACTAATTGTGGGGTTCTGACCTTTTCAGTCCATGGCTATGTGAGGAGATTAAACCCAGAACCAGAATCTCCCATAACTAGACTTCTAAAACAATGCAGAAAGAAATTGGGTACCACTACGGCCAAAAGTGCATCCTAGGGCGATGCTCTGGCTGCTACTGTGGTCCCCAGTTGGAAACAGAGCTGGGTGAGATGAGATTGGGAGGTCTCACCATGGAGTTCTGAAAACGGGCTCCCAGGACTTCTACTTGAGCCCTGGATCAGTACATGGGGGGCTCTGCCTACAGCCCTAACCCTACACCCTAACAGAGTTCCAAAACTTATGGCTTGTGATGTTTCAGGTCAAGTGGCAGAAGGATGACATGGACCACAACCTTAACTTCTTTTCTGTGTCGTCTGATGGCAGGATTGTGTCATGGACTCTCGTAAAGGTGCCTGTTCCCCAGAAAGGGTCACGGAGGGGTGAAATGGGAGGTGCTAAATGGCAAAGAGCCACTGAACCAGCCCAGCCCTTCATCCTCCCCACCCGCCTCTGACTGCAGAGTGAGCTGGTTCATATAGAAGTCATCAAGCTGAAGGTGGAAGGCAGCACTACAGAAATCCCTGAGGGGTTGCAGCTGCACACTGTAGGTAGGAGCCCCAGGCCTCACACCTCCAGTCCAAGTACCCCAGAATCAGTGGCAGTGGCCATTTACCTTCCCAATGCTCTCTCCTCATTTGTGCTGGAGCCTAGACTGGAAGAGACTTATGGGCAGAGCCCTTGACCATTGGCACACGCCCCTATTCAGGCAGGTCCTTTCCCAAGTGCAGCCCCTGCTCTTGTTTATGCAGATCAGGTGCTGCTCTGCAGATCCATCCCTGTTTATGCAGATCTAAGCCCTGTTTACCCAGATCCTGTCCCTGTTTACTCAATTCCTACCCTGTTTATGTAGACTCTATCCCTGTTTGCACAGACCATGTCCCTGTTTGCAGACCCCCATCCCTGTTTACCATGACCCTGACCCTGCTTAACTCAATCCCTGCCTTGTTTACCCAGGCCCCCATTCTTGTCTGCAGAGGCCTAACTGCCTAGGGCAAGCAAGCCTGTGGTCCAGTTTCTGCTTTCCTGGCCCGAGCCCAGCCCTTACAGCGGCCCGGTTCTATTTGTCCTACACTGAGCTGGGTGGGAGGTTGCCTCTGAGAACCAGGCTAAGTCTGTCCCCTTTCTTCCAAGGCTGTGGCACTGCCTTTGACTTCCACAAAGAGATCGACTACCTGTTCCTGGTGGGCACAGAGGAGGGGAAAATCTATAAGGTGAGGCAGCATGCCCTGTCAGCTCACCTCTTCACAGGGCCACTTGGCACTAAGCACCTAGGGAGGGTATAATAGTTAGTATCCAACAAGTCCTGTTCTGACACCATCTAGTGTTCACTGTTCTGGAAGCCTTTGGGGGAAGAAGAATGCATTTCTCTTAAGTTTTTTAAATTTGTGTGTGTGTGTGTGTGTGTGTGTGTGTGTGTGTGTGTGTTATGTCTATGGGCACACTCATGGCACAGTGTGCATGTGGAGGTCAAAGGACAATTTGTTGGAGCTGGTAGGTCTCTTAACCTGCCTCTTCAGCCTTGGTAGCAAGCAAGCACTTTTAGCCACTGAGCCGTCCTGCAAACTTTTTTTTTTTACATTTATTTATTTTAGTGATGGTGTTGGAGACACAAGCATGCCACAGTACATGTATGGAAATCAGCAGACAGCTTGTAGTTTTCCAAGGGTTGCACTCAGGTCATTAGGTTTAGCAGCAAGCACTTTTTCTTGCTGAACCATCTCACCAGCCCAAGAATGCATGTCTTGGTTCTCTTAGGTGGCAGAAAGAGGGGCTACAATCAGGACAGGTGACAGAGGATCTAGAAAGTAACTTGAGCCCGTCTCTTTCCTTCTCTCCTAAGAGGCAGGCATGGGAGTAGGGGCTTGGGGGAGATAGAACATTCCAGGTGGACTCCCTGGAGGAGATCTGAACTTGAGCTGGGCTTTGAAGGCTAGGTATCAAACAGCTTCATCTTTGAGTGTGAGGACACAGCCTCACAGCCAGTTTTGTGCCCTGTCTCAGTGTTAGTAGGTGAACATCCCTCTGAACCTCCATCGTCCAGAAATAGCTGTGCTGTGAGCTTTTCTTAGGCTCCGAGACTTAGAATGTTAATTACAGACAGCCTCCCGGGAGCCCCAGAGGCCCAGCCCGAGTTGGTCTGAATGCAAAAAAGGTCCCCACCCCCTCTCCACCCCTCCCAGTGGCTGCGGGAGAGAGGCAAGCAAAGGAACAACTAGTCACTTGGTCTCCTGGAGGGAGGGAGAAAGAGGCTTGCTGGCCAGGGCAGACACTGAATGAGAAATCTGGAGATCTGAGTCTGCTCCTGGCTCCACACCTGCTCTGACTGTACAAGGTGGGGTGCTGCTTACTGTGGCATGGGTGATGGATGATCTGCAGTGAAGCCATGGCTCTGTCAACCATGGACAAAAGATTAGACCGTGTCCCATCCATGCCTAGGGCATGAGACCCACTTTGCCTTGCCACAGAGAGAGAAGTCACTTTCTTACTGTCACTTCCCTTCAACCTCAAGGAGGGCACCCATACCCAGCCAGAACCCCAATCCTTAAGTGCTCTCTCCCTTTGGGAGTTGGGGGGTGGGGAGGGCGCAGGTGACAGAGGCTCAGGTGCTGAATCTCTAGGGCCCCTAGGGAAAGGTCACTGTTTACTTTCCTCTCACTATACAGCACAGCCTTCCTGAATCACCCATCCCCCCCCCTCCCATAGTGCTCTAAATCCTACTCCAGCCAATTCTTGGACACCTATGATGCTCACAACATGGCAGTGGACGCTGTGCTATGGAACCCATACCACACCAAGGTCTTCATATCCTGCAGCTCTGACTGGACAGTGAAGATCTGGGACCACACCGTCAA